TCCCACCATTCTACTTGGATTAGTTGATTCAGACCTCTGATCCTTCATTGCTCTGTGTCTGCTTGATTGAGACCTGCTTCCGTGAGCTGCTAGACGCTGGTCTCTATCAGCAGGAGTCTCTTGCTCTCTTCTTGACTGAGACCTCTCTCTGTTAGCTGATAAACGCTGGTCCCTATCAGCAGGAGTCTCTTGCTCTCTTCTTGACTGAGACCTCTCTCTGTTAGCTGATAAATGCTGATCTCTATCACCAGGAGTCTCTTGCGCTCTTATTGACTGGGTTCTAGCTCTGTTAGCAGATAAACAAAGGTCTCTGGCAGCAGATGTCTCTTGCTCTCTTCGTGATTGTAACCTGACTCTCTCCCTACAGGCGTCTCTGTGAGCTCTATCTCAGACTCTTCTTGCTGCATGCCAGCCTTGCTTCTCTCACTTCAGGAGTCTCGGCATCCCTACGAGCTCTATCTGCTGCCAGCCTGGCCTCTCTTGCTTCAGGAGTCTCAGTGTCCCTACGAACTCTATCTGCTGCCAGCCTGGCTTCTCTTGCTTCAGGAGTCTCAGAGTCCCTACGAGCTCTATCTGTGACTCTTCTTCTAGCCAGTCTGGCTTCTCTTACTTCAGGAGTCTCTGCAGCCATCCTCTGTCTGTAGAGCTCCCTACGATGACTATTACCAGCTTCGTCTTGGCTCATTTCTCAAATTCACTTGAATAACAAAATTAATGTTGCTTTACAAATGACACTTGTATAATAGTGAGTGGGCGTATCAAAGGCACCGCCTGTGGTTACAAATGTGATGTAACACAGCTTTCATTTGTAACACACCCTGTGGTTTTATTTGTATCCCTGTGGGTTGACAGCAAAAATCTCTTAAAATAAAATATAAGAAACAACATTATTGTACAGGTATTATAAGCTGAAAGTCAACTGTCAATAAAGCTTGCAATAAAGTCTGGCCTAGGTCCAGTGGCCTGCGGGAACGGACAGCGGGTACAAAGTCGGAACAATTGTGAGTCTCCGGAGTGCAGAAAACTTTAGATCAAATTCATAGACCAATAATCCATGCAGGCAGAGTTTCACTGCTTTCCTTCCGCATTGAAATCAATGGTTGACTAAGCCTCAATAATAAATATAGATGGCCGGGGAAGGTAAGATCGATACATGGCCGGTCAGCAAGCGCAGGATCTCTGTTCTGGACCTCTTCCAGACATTATAGCCTGAAAATAGTAAGATTATAGGTGTTATAACGTTTACGTGGAAACTGCTCTGTTGTATAATATCTATGGTTTATATTGAATTATGAACAGTATGCATGCACGTGAGCAGCATTATTGTTTATTGGTTTAATAACATTAATAATAGTTAGATGACCCTATCATCCCTGTACATACATACATACATACATACATACATACATACAGACGCTTTCTTGCCTTAGTGGGGCGAGCTCAGACTCGCCCCAATAAAGTAAAGAAACTAAACTATGAACTGAGATACAATTATGTGTGCATGTGCATACTGAATAGTGATAAATGTTGTTATCTGTGTTATGCTTGGTTTTATATTAAAGAAGTAAAAGAACTATTATGATTGTTTGAACATTTTCCAATTCCAAGCACTAAAGAGTTGTGTTCAAATACAGGTAAGTTTTTGTAACTGTGTTGTTGTACAATTAATTTTACTGCTGTTTTTTGGTTAAAGGATTTGATTTTATGAATCAAGTGTCGGAGTAATGATGACGAAATATTACAAAGTGAAGTAGCTGCAGTCGCCAAGTCTGCGGCAAACTGTTGTTGATAGCTTTGAGGTTCAATTAAGGCATTTGGGAAAAGGGGAATCTTTGATTCTAGTTGTATGGTATTTATCTTAGCACTTTTCACAACAGACATAAGTAAGTTTTACCAATATGACTGATAACATGAAGTAACCACGTCATACATAATTATGAAGCATTTCAGGAGATCAGAAGTTCAACATAATTACATTATTGTTTCAATTAAAGGTTGCATGCATTGTGTATACACAATCTTTTAGGTGGAGTTTGTTGGGGAGAAGGACTAATGTACAGGTAGCTGAACACGCACTGAAGACACCATTGGTACTTCTGTTACTAGCCATTACAGTAAGTTATATTTCAAAATTCAGGATAACTCATTTATACCATTGGACAGCTGCCTCAATGACTGAGTTTCGTTCAAAGAGGATCAGGCTTTTATGTCATCCTTTTATTGTTTGTAATTATTCTAGTGAGAATATAGTCAGAAGAAGTTACAGGTTAGTACTGTGTTTCAGTTGTTATTGATGAGGTGATGAGTTTTGTAATATATGATTGTTATATTTTAGAAGAATCAGTCTCACACTTGAACTGTGTCCAAGAGAACTATCTCAACTGCAGGTAACAGTTCATTGACAGGTGCTCAAAATCATTTTTTTAATGTTAAAAATAATTCCAGCAATGAATACTTATATTTTACCCCCTTCATTGCGTTACTAATTTCAAAAGTCTGACCAATTCTCACTTACATTTCAGACACATTAAAAAGCAATATTTGAGGTCATTCAATATTCCTAAATGAGAATGAACAAAAGAACTACATGCTGCAAATTTGGATGAGATGGAGGAGGGTAACTTTTTGTACTTTGATTCATAAATTTATTAAAATCTGCATTACAGGTGCATAGTAAAACTGCTGGTGCCACTCTGTCTTGTGTACTAAATTTTTCTTTCTCGGGCAAAAGCACTCCCTTAATTCAGAAGGCTTCCAATTGCAACAAACACTTTGTTTCACTTCTATTCTTTATCCTACTTATTATATGTCTAGCATATTATAATAGGTGTAACTTAAGAGCATTTGTGACTTAGCGTTTAAAGTTGTTTCATAGTATCAATGATTTTTTATTCTTGTTATTATTTCTTCTGCAAAATAATTATTATGACTGATTTTTGCTCTTTGTTAAGATTTTGGTTTTTTTAGCAGTTCAGTTAATTAACTTTTTTAAATCAAAGTACGTATTCCAATCAAGATACTATTTGTAATGCTTTCAAATATAAGTCAATTCCATAGTCTCTTGAATAAGCAAGAGGGTCCACATTTTCATGTAACACATCATATGTCAGCAATTGAAGGAATAACTGTATCTGGGACAGTTAAGATTTCTATTTCTTCATTTAATGGGAGAGGCCCATTTAAATCAATTCCGTAATTGACTAATTTCTCCTTGGAAAAGAAAAACATTAATAATTATTAGTAACAGTAAATGGACTTACTTCTGATAGCTCCTCCATTGGCTGGTTTCGATATTTGGCCAATCCAGTAATCCAAAGCTGAGTTAGTCAGGTTTTCCTTTGAGGACATGTGATGATTATTCCAAGCATGTAAAAACTGCTGGAGTGACTCATTTATTCTTCGGATGCATACGTAATGAAGACAAACATATGGCTTTCATTATCTATAGAGAATATCCCGTTGTCTTTCATGTAGTAAAACAGCTGGTAAAAGATCATGGTACACTGACTAAAAATATCTCCCCTTAACCGCTCTATTCTCTGGTTATGTATACTTTGGCCCATTATAAAACTTCCTCTACCTATTCCTCTCATTGGATGCTCAAGCATACATGCTGCCACTTGTATATTGTCCCCTCTATCCCCGCAAACTCTCTTAGGTAGACCCAATTGTTGCACACCATCAACAAATGCCTCAAATACTATCTCAGCCTTGTTATTGTTACTACATTTAAGATAGATTATTCTGCAGCTATAGCCGTCAATGCATCCATGAATAACCAGTCTCCACCTACAAAATGACAGGCAAATATAACAGGTTTAATTAGCAGAATCCTATAATACATACAAAAATTATCAATAATCCAGTAAATTTGCCCAGACTCATTAACTGCCTTATCAATTCACTGTGCATCGCAAATTATTTTTTCACTCAATTCAGATTGCAGTTCATTAGTAGTAATTTTAGAATATAGTTTCATAAATCTTCAGGGTAGTGTCTTGATTTGACATAAAGTCATAGGTAAGTTAAATATGCTGTAAATAATAAAAGAGCTCACTGAATAAATTTGTGGTTCCCATCAATATGGTACAATGATCAAGGAACCCTGACCTTGTAACTCCTTCTATTGATAGTACAGAGTCGATGAATGATACTACTGTGAGGATCAATTTGCCTTTGAGACTCTCTCACTCTGCTCTGCTGGACTCTTAATCCCAAACTGGAAAGATATTCCTCCATTTGCTTTGTTCCACACATTGGGTGGTCTTTTTGGACACCACTTACAATTTCATCAAGTTCATCACTGTCAAGTATGAATACTTAGAAGAGTGATATTTCATAATCAGCTAGCTTGCGATGAATGGTTCAAACAGACACTCCAATAATGCTTGCCATTTGTGGTGCTGTGAAGTTATTCTCTACAAGGTACTCAAGCTGAGCTTTGGGAATTCTAAACTAAGGTATCACATTGTGGGGCAGATATCACTATTGTGTTTTCAAATTGCACTTCCAGTGAACAAAGAACCTTAAGAGCTCTCCTGACAAAGTCACAGGCAACAGACTCATCCTCACTCAATCCCTCATCCAGATTTCCTTTCTGAAGGATCTTTCTAAACACAATCTCCAGCTGAAGCAAAGACAAATCTAGAACGCCTTGGTCCATTGTCCTACCATCTTCATAGCATTGCAAGGACCTCAGGACTCTGTAAATCACAGCAAGACCACCTTAAACCCGACATTTTGACCATTTTTGTTGCAGATCACATGATGAGTTAATTGCTCTCTTGTTAGCTCTATATTTATCATATTAAAAATAATATACTCTGCCATTGTGTAAACTAGTCATCACCTCGATACCATTCCATCTTAGTTATACCACTGCTGCTATTTCAGAAGCTTAGTCATTGTGCCACATGGTGTGCCATCAATAAAAGTAAAGTACATATTATTATTTAAGAGTAGTTTTGGCAGGGATCACCTCCAATAGAGATATACTAATAATAAGTACATAATACACATTACCATCTTTTATCTACAATTAGATATTAGAGACGCATCAAGCAATACAACTGTATAACAGGAAAGGACACTAAGCTACACTATTAAGGTAAGTTATACTAATAATCAGTACACAATACACATTATGATTTTTTGTATGCTATTAGATACTCCTAACACATCAAGCAATACAACTGTATAACAGGAAAGGACACTATGTTACACTACTATGGTAGTTTAGACACAAACTCTTACCACAAGTGATGTACTGTGTTACAAGGAAAGAAGACAAAATACCTGACGTATTGTCAAATCTTTGATGTTGAGGGATCATTCAAAACATTCTTCACGTGCAAATATCTTGACAATTGTTAACATGATAAACATAATCCTTTCAGAATGAATTTAAGAACTGTTTTAAATGTTTTGTTTTTGCTTTTTTAGGTTGGTGGCACCTATCCTAAAAAGTAGAAATAGGAGGAAAACATACAGTTTACTTTGTAAGTCCTTAATAATCTACCTTTGTTCTCAGAGCGCTAACAGGGAATGCACACCATAGCTGGAATGGTCACTGGCTTCTTAGTTGGCTTGATGGCTAGAAGAAAGAGAGAACGAGTCAAACTACAACATAAATCTGGAGCACTCGATACGCTACACACATTTTTATTGAGCGCCTACAAAATAAGA